GTGAAGATATGGAAAATATCTTACATTATCACTGTATTCTTCAGTGACTTCAGTATCTCATTATCTACTATATTATAATAAATTAGTATACTAACTCAAGGGCCGCCTGTGGCAGAACCCGCAACACTGCTGAGTGCTGAGTCATTGCCGAGTCATTGTGCCCTTGGAAAATGACCAAAATAAAAAAAATAAAATATGTAAACATTTCCGGTTCCCCAACCCGTCCCCATCACATGCAAATCACAAGACATCGTGTTTGAATGGTTTAAACCAATCAAAAACCTTAAACGTAGGCACGTGTTGATGTGATCACGTGACACAGCTGCTGATATAAGCGGCTGACGCGCTTTCTTCTCCAAAAATTGTTCTTCCTCGTCAGATCTTGTTTGTGCTTCAACAGTGTTTGAACGAAACAGTTCTGCCTTTTCGGAAAGAAATCTTTAATTTTTAACATTCAAAACCCTTGGAATTGATTTGAGAATGTCTGCCAGGTGTCGCCAGAACTACGATGCATCCAGCGAAGCTGAAGTGAACAAGCAAATCAACCTAGAGTTGCATGCTAGCTACGTGTATTCGTCCATGGTGAGAAACAACGTTGATTTGAAAAGCTTTAAAATGCGTTCAATTTACTAACTCTTCTCTATTATAGGCCTACCATTTTGACCGTGACGACGTTGCACTGGCTGGATTTCACAAATATTTCAAGAAAGCCTCTCATGAGGAGCGAGAACACGCAGAAAAAGTGAGTTTGTTTTCGTTTCGATAAGAGGCGTCCATGTTTGAATTTTAACTGCGTCATCGCTGTGGCCATCATGAATTTTAACCTTTTTTGTACATTTCTTTTGTAGTTTATGAAGTATCAAAATCTACGCGGTGGTCGTATTGTTTTGAAGGATATCAAGGTAGTTAAAACAAGAAATCATTGTGATTATTGATCCAATTTTATATATTTTTCAGTGTTCTACGCGAGCTCTATAAAATTACGTAATTTTTATAGAAGTGACGTACGTTGAAAATTTTTCATTCCACCCAAGTAATCACTGAATACATAAGCTATCAGAACCACACTATAATATAAAACACAGGATTACATGGAACCAAATGCTTGTACGTTCATTTTAAATCGCGATGTATATTCTCGAAGTTGAAGTCGAATTTAATAGTTCGCACTTCAACACACCCACCTCAGATATGTCAATCAATGAAATCATTCATGTTGCCGTGCGAAACATGAAATATATTAAAAGTGAGTTTGGCAACCAACAAGGGCGCGGCAGGAAACAAAATTACTTACACTTTCGAGGCAAAACATACATGTACATTACTGAACTTTTATAATAAAAGCACTTCAATTTATAAATGAAGAACCCTGAAATTCCCTGAAGTAGCAATTGTAGTAAATTCACATAAAACACCTCAAATGAATGTAAATAACGTAGCTGTTCGAACAACTACTAGGGCTTACTAGAATGCTCAAGGGAATACCATTTGTAGTCGCCTTTGTCTTAGAGTAAGTTGCTATTGTTGATGAGCACGCGTTCTCGTTGACTTTGTAATTTGCAACTATTGACATTTTGGATGGGCAGATGGTCAAAAGTATTATTCTGTGACGTTTTCATGAATTTCACTGTGGCAAAAGGAATATAATTTAAAATCTTACCAGAAGCTATGCAACACTTGCTGTTTTCAAAACTGGGTAGGTTTTTATAGATAAAAACACCAATTTGACATTTTGTGTGGCAACTTGAATTATGTATGGGTCGTGTAGCTTTTGCCTACGACATTTTTCTACTAGCATTTTTGCTGACTATTTTTTTCTGCCAGATGCATGTAGACACAGATGCTCTGCCATATTTTTGTGAATTGTTGAGCAAAACGTCCAGACCTTTTAAATTTTTAATGCTTTGCTTGCCAGCAATGGCTGTGTACCGTTGTAGTAAAAGTTCTCGTGTTTATCCAAATCAAAGGCTCCCACCTGATAAAATTAGCTTTACCTCCTACTAAAATGTTTCCAAAATTTCACCAGATGTTACCTGGCGAGACTTCCCTGGTACAACTGGCACTCCCTAGTTGTAGATGTGATTTAGGATAATAGGTGTAGTTTAGCAAACTGGTAGACCCTCGTAAACTGCTGATCAGGTTAGGGTTGGTTATGATACTAAACATGTGTGTGAGAGTATGTTATTTATGTAGGGTTTGCAAAATTATGGATATAACATTTTTAAAGCAGGGTGACATAAAATACAACTTAGTGTATTGATTCTCTATTATGTGTGGCCATATACAGTAATAATGGATGTGTCCCCTTGGCTGTGGTAATCAGTTAAGTATCCTAATTGTTTGGTTTATTAATTAGAAACCTGAGAAAGATGAATGGGGCAGTGGTGCGGAAGCCATGAAGGCTGCGTTGGCTCTGGAGAAGACCGTGAATGAAGCATTGTACAAGTTGCATGAAGTTGCTGTCACCAACAAGGATGACGAGGTTGGTTACGTTAGAGTAGATATACTTGCACCTTTCAGATCATATTGGTAAAAATATAAACATTAGTTAAAAAAACTATTATTCTGAAAGTGTAACACTCAGGGTAGATAATGAATAAAGTCTCACAGCACTATGCCATACCTGGTGCAACTGGCACTCTCTAGTTGATGGACCTGGGACTGCTTTCCTGTGCATGTGTGTGCCAACCTTGATGTGCTACTATTCTGAAGTTAAATTTTGGCAACGTGAAGTGCTGATCATTACCCAGCCAACACAGCATAAGTTTTATCTTTAGCGGACACTCTCAATGTAATATATAGCTTTCCTTCAAAGCTTACCATTAATCAGATGATGGCAGTAAGATAATATTTATCAATTCCTTATTTTGTCTTTTAGATGGCTGATTTTATTGAAAGCAATTTCTTGCACGAGCAAACTGAAAGCATTAAGGAATTGTCAGGTTACATTACCACTCTTGAGCGTGTTGGTGAAGGATTGGGTGTATACCAATTTGACAAGCTCACATTGGGTGATGACTAATTTCTTACTTGTTGGTGAACTTCATGTAGTGAGGATAATTAATTAAATAGCTGAGTAGCAATGCTGATTAGATCGAGTAAAAGAAAAGGGAAATAAAAAGCAATTAAAAAGCAACTTGTTGTGTTGTATGTTGGTTATTTTTTTTTGGAGGGGGGGAGTGAAGATGTAAGATGGCCTCCTGCATTCCAATTAACTGCCTAATTGTAACCACCTAACCCCATTCATAGCTAGATTATGTTCAAATGGTAAAACTTGATTAATTAAAAAGTGATTAATAATTGCAATATGTAAATCTATGGTGAGTAATGCCAGTTTTAAATGCTTGTGGGGATTTGCATGCATGGTCCCATCTTGCATAAGCATTATTTAAACTTTGTTGTCTGTTCTTGAACATATGCAATTTTATCAATTTATCTGTTGACTTTACTTGGGCTTAGGCTAGCCAACATTTGTTTATCTTTCAATGCCTGTTGGTGTAAGTAGCGAATACAAAGTGCAAATGATGTGACTACCTGAAACTATCTGGCCCAAGTACCTGTGCTTAGAAAGAAAATTAAATTCTTATGATTTACCAGCTTTAATGGTAGCAAGTCCTGTGCCACTAGAAGAAATGGCCGAAATGCAGTGAAGCATGTGATCGTAAAAGTGCCCCCTCCCCCCAATGGAAATCGGAGTATAAAGTAGTAATATGACAAACAAAATTACCAACATTCTGGTCATGCAATGAAATACTCCCTATGTGAAATTTAAACTGGGGGTACAGCAGCCGTAACAAATTTTACAGAAGCCCTAAAAATAAATTAAGCGTATATGTCTCATTTTGCTGACCATCCAACCGCGGAAGCAAAAAGCCCTGGGGACGAGGTTGTTTTCATGCTAGGCGGCATCCTCGTTCCCAGGGCTTCTCGGCTGCCTGCGTTGCAACGCAGGCAGCCGAGAAGCCCTGGGAACGAGGATGGCTAGGCGGTAAAACCAATAGACAACTTGCATGTTAGACTAATTTTTGATTTAGGAAAAAAAAGTAAATTCCCGTAAAGAACTTATTAAAATCAGTAAAATTGCAAAATTTGGTTACGAAATGTTGTAAAATTGGAAAATACAGCCTTGTGAAGTTTGCATATTTTCAGTATGTTTGTATTACGTGCGGAAATTGTTACCATTTTTGAGCCGAAAATGGTAACAATTTGCGAACGTAATACAAATATACTGAAAATATGCAAATTTCGCAAGGCTATATTTTACAACATTTCGCAACCAAATTTTGCAATTTTACTAATTTTCTTTTCTTTTTAACTGTTGTGTTTGATTCCCGTCTCTTTACTTAGATTAAAATTTAGTCTAACATGCAAGTTGTCCATTGTGAATGAAGCAACTTCTTGCAGCATTTTTGTCCAAATTCTTCGTTTCGTTGGGTCTCCCATGTGGAATGGGGGGGGGGGGACTGTGTTCCGATGTTCCCTTGAAAATCTCCCCTGTTTCCTCCCCCCGCCACAAAGATCTCGCCATGTTCCTTTGTTGTTTGTTCCCCCAGCTTACATGTTTCCTTGTTCCCTGTCTTTTTCGACTTTGTTCCCGTTCGATTCCCATTACAAAATATGCCTTGTTCTCTTGTTAGGGTTGAACTAATGTTGACGATTTTGTACACGCGTAAAAATCATCATGTTGATGCAAGTTGTTCAAAACAGGAGCGAACAATGTTGTGCTGCACCCCGTGAACAATATTGTTAACCAGTTGTTGAACCATCAATATTGTTGCAACTTGTTGACAATCATGTTAACAACTTGCAACAGTACTGATGGTTGAACAACTTGTTAACAATATTGTTCACGGGGTGCAGCACAACATTGTTCACTCCTGTTTGAACAATGCCGAACAACCTGATCAATTTTTACCCGTGTAGATGGAAATTTCGAGCATAATTTTTATACATTTATCCCCGAGCCGGCGGCGCGAAGCGCCGTGCGAGGGTACTAATTCCCCCCGGCTATTTACACCCGGGGAAACGAAAGCATTAGCGGAGTCTAAGGCTATGTGCACACGGGCGTCGTTTTCGAGCGTTTTCAAAAACGTTTCTGTCCCTTTAATCGCTTTGATGCCCTGTTCACGTGGTTCAAAGGAAAATATCTCCAATATATTAAATAAACTACAGCTTCAGTCGTAAATTAATAGTTTTCGCATCCGTTTTAGCGTGAAAACGCAAATGAAAACGCTCGAAAACGTTACCGTGTGCACGTAGTCTAAAGTTCATCAAATATCGCGGGCGTGGGTCACCAACGATGGGTGGTCATCCTCACTGACCTCATAAATATGGCGGACTGTCATGAATAGCGGACACTGATTGGTCCAATTTAAAGTTTGCATAAACGACTGCATCACGTCAGCGAAATAGCAAACATTTCTTGATTTGATGATTCATGATTGATAAATTTCTTGCGAATATATTTCATTTTTACTCGCATTTTTGCAATATTTTGTAAATTTCAAAAGCTCTCGGAGAAAGAAACTGCGAAAAAATCGGCTAAAAGAAGGGAGCCGACGTTAACGAAGGTAAGTTTGTTTTAAATATTGATTTTATAATGGCTTTAAAACCCGACGGCCTTTGCGTATATGAAACAACTAAACAAGACAGAATATAATTTCAGTGTATCTTTAATATTGATTCCCTTTTGTATTATATTGAATTTTTTAAATGAAAAAGAAAGCAAAGTTATTTGCAAGCGAGAATTTGAAATCATTTTATTGCAAACTCAAAGTTTATCGATAAACCATTTTAATAATTAAAGGTAGTTAAGTTAAAGAGCACTTTAAAACGTTTTGTGGAGCGTTTGTGGTTGAATTTTACCTTAAATTGAGGCTTATATTACGCATAATAACATACCTAAGATATATATGTTGGGAAATTAATGATTTTGTAATTAAAAGTGATATTTTTAGGCGATTTTTCATTTGTAAGAATATTCTTAAAAAATTATCGTGT